TATTTTGGTTGGTGTAAGGAAAAACTTTAAGCGATAATGCGTTCGTTCTTTTTAATAAACACAGTGAAAAAATTAAAAATAATACACCGATCAGCTTTCACAAATAAACTTTATGAAATGTAAATCAATAATCCAATATATATTTTTAAATATTTGTATAGAAAAAATTGTTTGCTTAACACTAAATAAATTTTAATATTTAATCGAATACTATTCCCTTACTTGACGTTGTCATGTAGTTTATCACATAAGGGTTGCCAACATCTGTCATTGCGTATACTAATTCATATACACATAGAAAATTCTTTTGGGTCCAACCGCCGAAACCTTCATAAATTACAAATTGTGTTATGTTCAGAACACAAATTGTTTTTGCAAATTGTCACAAATAGATTTTTTTACTGCCGATAAAAGTATTGAATGCATGTGTTATTATCGCAATGCGTTCAATTCTCCAGTTCTTGCTTTTTTAATGATTAAAATGAAAAAAATAACTACTTATATTTCTTATTAAAGTTTGTTTAGCATTGCTTAGTATGTTTACATTTCATCAGCCTGATTAAGAAAAGTTCAAGTATCTACATTCCAACTTTCAAGAAAATAAACTTAAATAATAAAGAAATAAAAGAAAAAACGAAGGGCAATTTGAGTTTTTTTTTAAAAAGTGCTTTTCAATATGATTCACCTAAAAATTTTTTTATTGGTTATAGTACATGCACACTGTCTTTTTTAGACACTTGATCTATAAATGATTAACGAGGAATTAACGAGGAACGTTCACATTATGATGGGCTTATATATGCAACTGATAAAACTTTTATATGAAATAAATAAACTTCACTTAATAAAGTGGAATTAAATTAAATATATAATTGATATATTAAGGCCGTGTGCGAGTTTATGTAAATTGATGGTAAATTGAGGGAATAGTAAATTATGTCGGTATGGCAGTGAATGTTGGTATTTGCCAGAATTTCGATTAGGGTAAATTAGATAAATTAGGTGTTATCATTTTGAAAATTTTAAAAGATGTTTAATAAATAAATAAATAAATTTGAAAACTTTTAACCAAAAATAATAAATAAGTGCAATAAATAAATAAATAAATATTTACATAAGTGCTGTGCAAAAAATCCCTATGAAATTTCAATTTATTTTATCTCAATATAATCGAACTCGCACACGGCCTAAATCATTTATGTGCATTTTATATATCAATTACATATTCAATTAATAAAAACAAAGATTTTATTAAACACTTACTTCTTCAGTGTTTTTATTTACAGTTAAGATATTGTTTGTTTACATTGTACATATAAAACATATGACACATATTTGAAATTTCGATCATTTCCGTTGTGGGAAATTTATTTTAATGGTTGCAATATTTTTGGCCATAAATGATAATTTGTTGATATAATTTGTTGTTGTAGTTACTTTATTTTATTTACTTTATTTATTTAAATATTACAAATTATTTTGTTTGTAATAATGGCGGGAGACGCGACCGTTGGAACTCTATTTTTCTTTTTGACAGTTTTTTATAATAATCTTTTTGGTGTTGCCATAGTACTTTCCATTAAGTGGCGAAGTCACTGAATTTAGTTGAAAAACGAACGTTGCGCCCTGATCTTGTCAGGTCAGCTGTTGTATTTGGTCGTAAAGACTGGTCGCAATTTACGTTGCTTGGAGTGGCGCATAACATTGATTTGTAGTCTGTATCTATGTCTGTATCGGGACACATGAAAGCCGCTTTAAGGCGATCTATGCTAATTGTTTGTTCTTTGTTTTCGATCAGTATTTTAAACGTCTTCTCATTCCGCTCTAGTATTTGGTAAGGGACGTCGTAAGGTTGCTTCAGTGGTGGTTTTAGAGCCGGTTGTATGTGGTAACAGAACTTGACGTTCTGTATTTGTTCTCTTAACTTGGTTATGAAATCGTGTTGATTTGTATTTTTGTGGCTAAGGTTGCTTACTATTTCCGAATGCTGGGGTGAGATAACCCATGAATAGCTTTAAAGATATGTAGTCGGTATTTCTGTGGAATGTAAGGACGAATCACCCAGTTGAAACTTCGCAATAAATTTTGTCTGGACAACATCGTTGTAATCCAATTATACAATCGTAATCGATTTCTGGGATGCTAATACTATCTATTCGTGTGTCTGAATAATAATATGTCGTTTTTCTTGTTTCCTTTTATCTTTTGTTTAAGTGCAGTTTGAGAGTCTGCTGCGTTAAGTATGAACCTGCGATAAAAGTTAAGAAATGCTAGAAATCATCTTAATTCTTTCGTTTTTGTTGGAAGCGGGTACTCGATGATGCTCTTCACTCGATCAGGTAGAGGATGAATGCCCTTTTCACTGATGATATAACCAAGAAATTTTACTGTGTTTTGAGCAAAAACGCATTTTGATACGTTTATTATTAAATCATGTTTTCTGAATCTTTCAAATATTTGTTGCAAGTGTTGCCTGTGCTCTTCTTCATTTTATGATGCAATAATGACGTCGTCAATATAGGCAAATGCGAATTTGGGATCTCGTATTATTTCGTGAATGAAGCGTTGAACTCCAACTTCCGTCTGGTTTTTTTACCATATGAAAGGGGCTAGCCCAATTGCTACTTGATGGACGACATATTCCAGCTGTGACTAAGTTTTGGAATTCTTCTTTCGCTGCTGCTAGCTTGTCTGTAGGTAGTCTACGTGGTCTCTCACATATTGGTAGTCCTTTTGTTAATATGTGATGAGTGACTTTGTTCACGTGGCGATTTGTAGGTGTTGGTTTGTTAATATCGATATATTTTTTTAGTAGATCTGCAATTTTGCAAGATGTGTTTACGGTTGATATGATTTAAAAAAATCAGCGCCGATGATTGAAGTATTTACATCTGCAATAATAAATGGCCATGCGAAATTTCTTCGTAAGCTAAGAGCTAGAGTTAGCTCTATTTCACCAAATGTTTTGATCGTAGAACTATTTGCTGCGTAGAGTATTCTATCGTTATTAATGTTTGTATTTGAATTTTTTTTGTTTGGCGGCAATAAGTGAAACATCTGCACCCGTGTCGATTAGGAATTATTTTTTTGTCTTATTGTCGTAAACGAACAGTCTTGTAGATGTTTCGTTTACAACTTCCTCTGCCCCCGTAGACGAAGTCGGTTTTAGTTTTTTGTGCCATATGCGCATGGCTGCTTGCAATTTTTTCCACTTAACCCATATGTTTTATGATACCAACAATTTGTACTGCTCTTTTCTTCGCTATCATCATGACATTGCGTTGATTTTTTCTTGAGCGGTGTTCGGTTAATAATTCTGGTCTGGTCAGTTTTCGTTGAAGCTGTTCAATTTGCGCATCACGTTGAATATGAGCTGCTGTAGGGGCGTCAGCTGCATTGACATAAGTTACTTGCATTGTTGAATTTATACGGATTGTTTCGGTAATGTTGTCTGACAATTCTGCCATCTTAGGTAGTTCTACTTGAATTGTGGCTAGACATGTCTGTACTTCTACAGGAAGACGTTGTAACCATAACCCTTTCAGTAATTGTTCGTCTTGTTTGTTTCCACTAATGCGTTGTTGTTCGTTTAATAGATGAGATGGCTTTTTATCTCCAAGCTGTAAACCACTAACTAATTTTTGTATGCGTTTTTGTTCACTATCCGCAAAGTTTTTTATTATTGCTTGCTTGATAGCCAAACTTTTGAGTGTCGCCCTTTATGTGGTTGACTAGAAACCCGTAGTCCAACTGTATAAACCAAAGATCAATGTTGTTCCTTATTAATGACTGGGGTAGTATCTTCGGTAACTTTTTGATTTTGTGTAGCCATTTTTATGTTCAGCGTCGGTTTGGTCACCAATCTAGTGGTTGTTGTGGTTACTTTATTTTATCTTTTTTATTTATTTAAATATTACAAATTATTTTTTATAATAATCTTTTTGGTGTTGCCACAAGCTCATTTATATGAACGATTTTTGTATGATAAATCATCTTCATTAGTAGTCATAATGATCAAAAGCGTCTATATGAGGCAGTGTGAATATACTATAAGTTTTCTCTTACATTCTGCTGTATTTATTTTAAATAAAAATACTGATGAATTGGTTTTGTACGATACTCTGTGAACGATAAATTTCTGATAGGAAATTTCTGTTATTAATTTAAAATAGAGTGAAAAATAATCCACCAAAGCTAATAAAACTACTGAATGTGTTTTGAATATGCAATTTTTAAAATTCGATTTGTATATAAAAAATAAGATTTCTAATGTTAATTTTTTCTTTCCGAGCGTGACGCGTTTTTATGACGAAAAGAAACTATTTAAAAGTTAGACGGATCGAATAGCAAAGAAAAAACAAGGACAAATATTTTTTCAATTTGGCTGACCATACAATGCTGTTTCGAGTATTGTCAAGTACTCATAATCAGTGGTCTTAGGAAATATTTGAATTTCTAAATTAGTTCATAGTCCGTATATTACTTGTTTGAACTGCAAGTAACAGGCTTAGAACTCGTTCCTGCCAAACTAGAAGCGGTGACTAACGGTGTTTTCCACAAGTAACCAAGGGTGCACAAGTTCAATGAATTGAAAGTTACCAAAAAAAGGCGCTATTTTACAAAGAAGACTTCTTTAATTTGGGACAATATGAACAGTTACTAAACTAAATTTTATTAGAACGATATTAAGAAAGTACGACGTTTTATAATGAATTATGTACATAAATATGTATGTATATTTTTGCAATATGTGTGTGTTGATTATATTTTTTCACTAGAGGAATATAGTTTTTTTTTCGAAACTCTTCATTTTGTTTTTAGTGGTATAATTTTAAGAAAAAATCAAGATCACAATTGCATTACAGTTCATAAAAATTTTTTTATTTTATGTAAAAGTAAAATTACATTCTAAAAAATTTTTCGAAAACCAATGTGTTGTTTTAAATTAAAATAAAATTCATTTAATGTTCGGAAAAAACTAATAAAATTTTACTGCTTATTAATGGAGTTTTGTTGTGTTTATTAATAAAATATTTTATATATGTAGTTTACTGTCTGTTCTTTGTACTCAGACATTTGCAATGCAACACTGTAGTATTTAAAAACCTACCAAGCACAAATTCAAATATTTTAAACGCTCTAAACGTCAAAACTGAAAAAAAAGCGGAAGAGAAAAAGTATATTCGGTAAGCGTCTGCTTGGTTTATATAGACAATTTGAAGCAAAAACTTTTTCTAGTATTAAAAACTAACAGTAGAAAATTTTATTTAACGTGTAAATTCTGTATATTTAACAATTGGTCAAATCTTTACGTTTGAATAAAAGTAAAAAGCGGCATTTAGATATATAATGTGAATACAGTAATCATGGTTTATGAAGCTAAATTGATACGCCTGGATAAAAGTGGCGAAAAAGTTGAAGAATATATTATAAATAAAAAAGAATTTACATTTGGTAAATTTCCGTTTTGCGATGTTTCTATAGACGATCCAAGAGTAGAGCGCGTCCATTGTAAATTAGTAATAGACGCATGGGATCGGGTAGGTATATTAATAATCCTTGAAGGATAAATTTTAATATTTTACCTTCAGGTTAATATAATTAATTGTTCAAATGAGCATCCTATAAAAATCAACAATGTATCAATTGAAGTGAAGAGACCTCTCCTACATAAACATGTTTTAGATGTACTTGAAAACAAATTTATTTTTGAATGTAAGCGCAGTGATAGTGAAAACAATTTTACAACACCTCAAAAGTCTGCTAATGCTGATAGGGCACCAAATTCGTGTCCTGATTTAAGGGTAAATATTTTAAACGGTTTTATTCTGAAATTTTCAACATAACTCATTTATATTTACAGTTTTCTCATCATTACCCACGACGGTTTACTGTTCACAGGTGAGTGCTAAATTTCTGATAAGTATAAAAGTATAATAGAAATTTTAACTAGTCGCTTAGTTTTACTAACAATATTGTTATCATATTTTGACAATACGATATATAATTAATAACAAAAATATTTTTATATAAATAGTTTTTTTTATTCCACGTATACTGGTGATGATATCGAGAAAAAGGATACTAATAATGAAAATATATCTCAAATTAATTCCTTAACCGAGGTGAACGAAATAGAAAAGGACAAAAAATGTAATGTTGATGATATAACTGATAGCACATGTAATTTGTCTGGTTTAAATTTACATAATGATATCGCAAAAATAATGGTTATTGATTCTACACCAGACAAAAAATGTGAAATATTAAAACAAAATATTTGTTTAAATTACTCAGACATGAAGATCACATCATTCTCTCCACGCATTGCTGGAGTACAAATAGAGAAATCCTTTGTAGATTTCATATCATGCACTCCAAAAAGTACGTACAGCACACCTAAAGGCGTTATGCCAAAGATGTACAAAGCTAATCAAAGTTTGAAATATGTGACTCCGAATACTTCTAAAAAAAGGTATTTACAAGAAGCACCAAATTCACCTATGTATTTAGTAGATTTCACAACTCCTATTAAATTCGCACCAAAATCTCCGATTCCTAATTTATTGATTAAATCTTGTAATAAAAAAGAAACATCTAAATTAGAAATGCCTAGCTGTAGTAAGCCATCTAGTACGCCAATATATCGAAAGAGTGTATCATTAGATACTCCAATAAGTGTGGAATCTAGTGCTTCGTCAATTATAGAGATAGATGATGATTCTGATGCTATTATAAATAGTGCTAGTAAAACTCCAACCAAACGTTTTACTGCTAAACTAACAACACCCAAACGCTCTTCGCCATCATTAATGAAGCGTATATTATTAAAAAGCACACAAAAATCTAAAGCAGGTTCTATTTTGTCAAGAACTCCTACTACCCCAAAATTACATAAATCGATTACACCTCGTCGCCTTGCACAAAATAGCCGACAATATGAAGTTATGAGAGATAATTCACTTTCTTTAATGTCTGAAGAACAATTACAGAAAACAACACCTCATATTTTACAGAAATTAAGTGGAACTAAAGAATCTGACTTTGATTTAAAGAATAAAAATAATTTAACAATTGATTGTAATAATGGTAGCTCTAAAACTGATTCGATTGATTCGAATATAGTATCAGAGAATTTTGGTGAAACTGTTGAAACTTCTGTTAAGAATTTAAATGAAACTTTCGACTTAAGTGCAAAAGACAACATAATGACAGAAAAAAAAATTGAAAACGATGTAGAAAACGATATATGTTTGACGAAAGAAAACAAACACTCAAATAGTAAAATGGAATTTCTGTTTGACGAAGAATGCTTTAACGAAACTCAAAAATTACAGACTAGTAAAGATAACATAGTTAGTAAAGATAATATAGATTGTAAGGAAGTAAACACCAGTGAAAATAATCGAAATGATCCATTAAATAAACGGCGCATTGAAAGAAGAGTATCTATGCCTACAGAACTTGCATCAAAGTGTACAATTCAGTTTAGAAGAACTTCATTGAAATCAGAAAGTTTAAATAAAACTCCCATACGTATAAGGTCGTTTAAAGCCTTGGATACTGAATTAAAAGATCAATACGTAGAAGAGAGTATGGGCGCAATTGTTGAAGATTCATATACTGAAGAAACAATTATTAAAGATAGTAAGTGTAAGATTTGATTTTTATAAAATTGTATAAATATTAGGGTAATACTTTTCTAATTAAATGTTTGAATTACAAAATTTTTTTTCAATTTAAAGGTGCAAGTTCAGTTACAGTAAAAAATGCAAGCATTGGTATGAAAAGTGAAATCTCTAATATAGAAGGTAAAACAAAAATTTGTAAATTGTAGTTCGTTTTAAATTTATTTAATTTATTTGATATATTCGTAGAACTCAAATCTATGTTTGATAATAGACAAAATGAACGCATTTATGAAGTTTTGGATGATTCTGAATATAACTATGGTAAAGAAGTATTAAAATGTAAGTATGTAATTGTGATTATATATGCACAATATTACTTTACACATTTGTAGGTGAAGATGATGTAAGTGAAACGGAATTTGAAGGTGTACAAGAATTACTCGCTACGCCAAGAATAAGCAGTACACCAATTCCAAAGAATAATAAAACTGATGAAACATCCCAAGTTCTTTTAAATTCTCCAACTGTAGATGTTTTTAAAACACCACGAGGTAAAAATTTGATGATGACCGTCACTCCTTCCAGTGAAATGATTAAGCAAAGCTTTGCTTCAAAAGAATTTTTAAATTGTACTGAATATAATCTTAATGATAGCAATGACAAATTAGAAAAACTATTCGAAAGTCCAGTGGCATTAAAATTTAATAATCAAGATCTTACGGAAAAATCGCAAAATATGTCGACAAATCAGCAGGTTTCAGAATACAGTACACCAGTTAGTAATTCTAAGCTAGATAAAATCGAAGAATCACCATTTTCTTCTACAGACATTATCACTGATTTGCCTGAAATTGAAGTCCAAAATTGGATTAAAAAAATTGAAGTTTCAAATTTGGATGAGGAACTTATCGATGATGCGTCTAGACTTCACAAAAGAAATGTAAGCCTAAAATCATCTATTGAGCATAGTTTATCAATTGATCCACTGCATTTATCTGTAAATAAAAGTGGTAACACGATGAAAACTACTGAAATTAGTGATCCTTTAAGTCTGTCAGTGGCAGAAGAACAAAATTTAGATTTGCTGACTTTAGATGAAAGATCAATGACACCTATAGAATCAGAAATGAGTGGTATTCATCTTTTAGATGAAAGTGAAGATTCTTTTTCATTAAAGGTTAGCGATACAGAATCTGAATTGCCAATATCACAAAATTCGAAAATGAATAAAATAGAGGAATTAAAATCGAATGAAACATTTGAAGCTTTGGTTTTAAGCGATACAGACAGCGACTTAGCTGATATAGATAATGAAGACGAATACCTTAATTTGAAAAAGTCAAATTTTACCACCTCTGCAGTAAAAAAAGTTCTAACCAAAAAAACAGATACTGAAAAACATCTTGAATCACCAAAAACATCCGGTTTTGCAGTTGACATTAAGAGTAGTGAACAATCAAAAATTTCCTATGAGTACAATGATATGAGTTTGATGGCAAATGAAGATTTAGAAAATAAAACGAAAAAAATCAATGCATCAATAGATATAAAAACCATTAAGGTGCCGCTTAATATGGAGGACGATATGAAATCTTCTCTGCAATTAGGAGTTAATAGTGATAACACATCTTTTACGTCCCTCTTGGACGCAGAAATTATAGTTGAATCCAACATTCAAAGTGAAGATTATACATTAGATGCGTCGAAATCTAAAGACGCAATGTCTTCACAATACCTAGATAATAGAAGTCAAGTAGATTCGACAGTCCAGTCTAGTAATGGAAGTGAAGACGCTATTACATTAAGTCTTTCAGAGGTCAAAGATAGATTCAATAATAGTCAAGTTTCTCCTAAAGTTGTATTGGAAAAGACAGTTGAATCAAACATTGCTGCTGAAAATGTTAAATTGGATGTTTCTATTTGCAGTGATAAATTTATTCCACAATCTGAAGAAAATATGTCGCTAAAATCCGTGTTGGAAAAAACAGTTGACTCCAACATTGCAAATAAAGAATTATTCAAAGAATTTGATTTAACTGAGTCATATGACAAGTCTACACTAAAATACCAAGATAATAGACATCAAAAGTCTTCTAAGTTTGTGATAGAATCCAATATTGAAACTGACAATGAAATTATTTTAAATGAATGTGATAATAATAAATCTATTCTAAAATCACAAGATAACACTATTGAAAAGCCAACTGAATTTGTGGCGGAAAACATAGTCAAATCAAATATGAGAATCGAAAATGCTGGTGTAACAGATATATCTAAGTCTGATAAATCTACTTTACAATCCCAAGGAAATAATGACACTACGTCTACTAAATTTGTAATGGAAAAGTCAATTGAATCCGTTATTGAAAGTAAAGAGGCAAATATATCAGAATTATCTGATTCTGATGATAAATTTATTTCACAATCAGAAGTCAATGATAAAATCTCTTCTAAACTTGTCCTGGAGAATATAGTTGAATCAGATATCGAAACAAGAGATATCATTGGGGTAGATGTATCTTTTCTACAATCTCAAGATATTGATAATGAAAGTTCTTCTAAATGTTTTTTGCAAAAAACGGCTGAATCTAATATTAAAATAAACGATGTTACTTCAACAGATCCAGAATCCCTACGAAGAGGAAATGAAATGGCTTCAAAATATGTCTTGGAAAAAACAATGGACTTCAATATTGAAAGAAAAGATGCAAATGCATCAAATGTATCTAAGTCTAATGAGGAAAATGACATACAATCTAAAGATAATAGTTATGAAACGTGTTCTAAAATTACATTGGATATTAAAACTGAATCTATTATTAAAGAAAATGATGGAACGTCGGATATATCTGAGCTTGATAAATGTACTTCGAAATCCCAAAGCAGTAGTGATCAAATGTTAAAATTTGTGTTGAAAAAAACAGTTGAAACTGGAGATGTAACTACATTAGAAGCATTTGGCTCTAATAATAAAAATACTTTACAATCTAAAGATAATAATGATGGAATATCTTCTAAACATTTGTTCGAAAAAGCAGTTCAATCAAATATTACGTCTGAAGAAACTATTAATTTAGATGTATCTGAGTCTGATAAATTTATTCTTGAATCGCAATCAAAAACACTTTTAGAAAAAAAAGTTAAATCAAATATTGAAGCGGGAAGCTCAATTGTATCAGATGCACTTAAGCCTAATAATGAAAATGACATACAATCTCAAGGCAATAATGATGTGGAACCGTCTAAATGTATAATGGAAAAATCGACTGAATCGAATACTGAAAGTGAAGATACAATTATATTAGAAATAACTGAGTCTACTGATAAATCCACTCTAAAATCTCCAAAAAATGGCGATGAAGCTTCTTCTAAATTTGTAACAGAAAAGTCAATTGAATCGAATGATGAAAGTGAAGATATAGTTATATTAGAAGTATCTGGCTCTATGAATAAATTTACTTCACAATCCCAAGGTAATGATGAATTATTGTCTTCTAAACTTGCGGTGAATAAAACAGTTGAATCAAATGTAGAAACGAAAGATATCATTGAGTTTGATGAATCTTTAGGACAATCTCAAGATAATGGAAATGAAATATCTAGTAAATTAGAAGAAACAGTTGAATTGAAAACTGAAAGAAGAGATGCAATAGCATTAGAAGTAAGTGAGTCTGATAAATCTATGCTACAATCCCAATCAATTATCCTGTTTGAAGAAACAATTGAATTAAATATTGAAAGAAGAGATGGAATTGCATTAGATGTATCTGGTTCTAATAATGAAAATGACATACAATCTGAAGATAATAGCAATAAAATCTGTTCTACGATTGCATTGGATAATACAAATGAATCCAATAGTGAAATCAATACATTTGAAACAAAAGTGGAAACAAGGGACAACATTGGGTTAGATGTACCTGTAGTACAATCTGAAGATAATAATGATGGAATGTGTTCTAAATTTTTATTGGGACGAACTGTATTACATAATACTGAAAGTGAAGATACAATTGCACTAGAAGTATTTGACTCTAATAATAAAAATACTTTACAATCTAAAGATAATAATGATGGAATATCTTCTAAACATTTGTTCGAAAAAGCAGTTCAACCAAATATTACGTCTAAAGAAACTAATAATTTAGATGTATCTGAGACAGATAAATTTATTCTTGCATCGCAATCAAAATCACTTTTAGAAAAAAAAGATGAATCAAATATTGAAGCGGGAAGCGCATTTGTATCAGATGCACTTGAGCCTAATAATGAAAATGACATACAATCTCAAGGCAATAATGATGTGGGACCTTCTAAATGTATAATGGAAAAGTCAATTGAATCGAATACTGAAAATGCAGACACAATTATATTAGAAGTATCTAACTCTACAGATAAATCTACTCTACAATCTCAAGATAATAATGAAAGAATGTTTTGTAGTTTTGAAATGGATAAATCAATTGAATCCGATACTAAAAATGGAGATGCAATTAAATTAGAAGTATCTGACATTACGGTTAATAATGATAAAATGTCTTCTATATATGCAAAGGGGAAATCAATTGAACTCAATACTGAAAGTAGAGATGCAATTATATTAAAAGTATCTGACTGTAACGATAAATCTAGTCTACAAGCTCAAGATAATATTGATGGAATGTCTTCTAATTTTGTAATGGAAAAGTCAATTGAATCGAATACTAAAAGTGGAGATGCAATTATATTAGAAGAATGTGACTCTACAAGTAAATCTACTTTACAATCCCAAGGCAATGATGAATTATTGTCTTCTAAACTTACGGTGAATAATAAAGTTGAATCAAACTTGGAAACGAAAAATACCATTGGGGTAGGTGAATCTATGGAAAAATCCCAAGATAATACAAATGAAATATCTAGTAAATTAGTGTCTAGTAAATTGGAAGAAACAGATGAATTAAATATTGAAAGAAAAGATGCAATAGCATTAGAAGTATTTGAGTCTGATAAATCCATGCTACAATCCCAATCAACAATCCTGTTTGAAGAAACAGTTGAATTAAATATTGAAAGAGGAGATGCAATTGCATCAAATGCGTCTGGATCTAATTATGAAAATGACATACAATCTGAAGACAATAGCAATAAAATCTCTTCTACAATTGCATTGGATAATGCAAATGAATCCAATATTGAAATCACTACATTGGAACTAAATGTGGAAACAAGGGACAACATTGAATTAAATGTGGCTTTAATACAATCGCAAAGTAATGGGAATAAAATATTAAACAAATGTGAAATGGAAAAGACCCTGAAATCCAATATTAAAGAAAATTCTAGTGCATCGGAAGTATGTGAGTTTGAGAAATCAACTCCACAAACCCAAAGCAATAGTAATCAAATTATGTTCAAAAAAAATGTTGAATACAATATTGAAGGTGGAGATTCAATTACTTTAAATACATTTGACTCTAATGATAAAGGTGCTACTACATTTGATGTATCTGAATTGAAAAATATATCTACTGTAGATCACCAAAATCATAGTCATGAAATATCTCCTAAATTGGTGCCAGAGACAGCAGTTGAGTCGAATATTCAAGATGCGACTGAGTCACTTATATCTGAATCGATTAATAAATTTACACTGACACAGGAAAATAACATGAATGAAAAGTGTTCTATATTCGGTTTGGAAGAGACAGTTCAACCAAATACTAGAGGTGAAAAATGTAGTTCACTATCTAAAGATGATAGCGATCAAAAGTATGGAGAATTAGTGTTGAAAGTAACAGTTGAATCTAATAATGAAAGGGAAGAAGAGTCTAATGCTACATCAACTTTGCAATCCCAAGATAATATTGCACAAAAGTCCAGTGATTTTATTTTAGAAAATACAGTCTCGTTTAATATTGAAGCCAATATTGATAAGTCTACTGATAGTTTTGATGCACTTACAATAATAAGTAAAACTGATAACACTGATAAAAAAAAAGAAATAGACGCTAATAAGGTACATAAAGTATGTGACGAATTCCTTACAGTGGCGACTGAAACGCAAAGAAAAAAATCCGTAAACGAAAACATAAATGACAGTAAAGATATTATAAAAGCTGCACCAAGACGTGGAAGAAGGAAATTAGTAGTACAAGATGAACCAGAACCGAAAGAAATTTTACAAAAGAAAATTACAAAAATAATAAAACCAATTTCGAAACTTAATGAATTTGTTCATAACAATAAAGAAACAGTAAACAATCAAGAAGATATTCCAGAAGAAAATAAGAATAAGACTGTAGGGAAATCTCGAAGAGGAAGAAAACGAGCAATAAATTATGCAGAACCTTATATATCTCCATCTAAAGATATTGAGGTCAGTCCAACTTCTAAAAATATTGAAAAACTATCGGTAAATAAATTGAAAGAGGATGAACTTGAGACTTCTCTAAAAAATATCGAAGTTATGTATAACGCGACAGCAAGCAAAACTGCGAAAGAAAAGTCAACCATTTCTGCCACAAAGGGACGGATTGATAAAAACGCTGTGGAAGAAGAAATTAAAGAACCAGATCAAATTTCTACATCTCGACGTGGTACCAAAAGAAAACCAATGATAGTAACTAATATGGACGATATTCCAAGTTCATCTCAACTTTTCGAAGAAATTGCAGTTACTAAAATGTTAATTAATGTTGAAAATGACCATGATACGGTTAATGCAGAAATATCTACACATAGTAATAAACGTGGAAAAAGGCAGGACATTCATAAGAAGAAACAAGATGAAATTGTAATTTTTACGGAACAGGATATTTCTCAAATGCCGACAACATCAAAACGAGGTAGGACGAAGAAAAAAGATATGGAGGAAAAAATTATTGCAGGAGATGAGAAAATGAAAACTGTTGAGAGTTTAACTGTTAACAAAAGACACAGCCATGACAAACAGGAAGCAGAGATTTCAAAAAGACCAAAATTATCTACAGGTGGAGATATAGAACTAGAAGATAAAATAAATATTACTAAAGATACAACTTCTACTACTAAACGCGGGAGAAGGAAGGTTGTCTATCAAAAAGATTCCGGAAATGTCAGTATTCATCAAGATAAGACTGATATTTTCTTAAATATTGAAAGCAGCTCAACACATTTACCAAGCAAACGTAAAATTATTGAAATTGAAGAGCCTATGGTAGCGACTAAAGAAGTGGAAAATTCCTTAAATACCAATAATCCCGCAAAACGATCACATAGAAATAAAAAAGTAATTGACAAAGGTAAAATAATTATTTTGCTTATAAAAATCATATTAAATTTTTATAATTTTTATAATTTTTTTATAATATTATAGATATGCCTGAATCAGCACAGTCCGAAGGAGATGTATTATCAAAAGTAGATGCTAAAAATGAATTAAAAGATAAATCGGTGAATTCAAAAGCAACGAATACGAATATGGAAACAGTACTCAAAAAAGTTAACAATCTTAAGGAGCATAATGCCGAAATTGAAGAAGTTGATAAACAACAACAAACAAGCTTGAATGATATAGCAACAGCAATAGCAACCAGTAAGGATTCTAATCTTATTGTAAAGGAACACATAAAAACTCGTAATGGCCGAAAAGCCATTTCTTCACATAATGAAGAAAGTATTGCTAAAACATCAAAAAAGTCAAATAAACTAAATACTTCAGATATTGACGAGCAAAGAAAGCGTAACGTACCCAGACGTGCGGCAACAGCTAAGAACTATGATGAAAGTTCAGACATTGAAACAAATATAAAAATAACTGACAGTGAAAAAACAATAAAAACAGAAATAGCTACTACTAGCAGAGGTAGAACTCGAAAACCAATAGCACTTGTTCAAGAATATCTGGAAAAAGCACGTTCGAAAACTGACTCCCCTAAAAAAATAGTACAACTAGAAGAAAATCCTATGATAAAGAATCAAAATAATGAAAGAGAATTAAAAGCAACGGCAACAGTTGATACAATTAGTAACAAGCGGACTCGTAGTGCTAAAGCTGTAACAGAGACAAATGTTAAAGAATCTGCTAATGAGAGAGTGGATCGACAAAAAATGACAAGTTCGATTTTACTCACAGGAGAAGTTATATCAACACATACTGAAAATGAAAGTCCAATGCGTAAAAGAGGACGAAAACCAACTGCTACAAAGACAAATATGAAAAAAATGTCTACAGCTCCTACAGAAGCTATAGTTGTAAAAGAAATTCAAGAGAAAACAGAAGAAGCTATTGATAAACCAGATCTTAAAATAACTAGTAGAAATGAGAAAGATGACAAACAAAAAATTAAAAGTTTAACTTTACCCACAGAAGACGTTATATCAACTCATATTGAAAATGAGGGTCCCATACGTAAAAGAGGACGAAAAGTAACTTCTGCGAAAACAAAGATAGCGGAACCGTCTATAACTCCAACAAAATCTGATGTTGTAGAAAAGATTCACGAACAAACGGAACAAGTTATCAATAAAAAAAAATCTACACGAAGTAAAAAAGTCAGTTTTGAACTTGAAACTCAAGAAGCGGTAAAAGTTAAGCGCACAACAACGCGTACAAAAAAGAAATAAATTCATTAAACAAATTCTTGAAAGTTTTTATATTATTCATAAATTGTTATTTATATGTTTTTAATCTACCATTGTTTTTTAGACTATATAAGTTTAAACTAAAAAGCCCTTTTTTAAATAAAAATTCCATTTTATGTTGTTTTATATATGTAATACAAAACTAGTTTTTATTTCAATTAAAATTAAAATAAAATATAATAAAATAAATAAATAAAATAATTCTTTTGTTCATAAAATATGGGATATGGGAAAAATCAAAATAACAAGATTTGATATAGTAGTAAATTATACTTTATTAGTATAAATCATATTTCATTTATAAATATGAACACCTGTTTACCCATTATTAAATAATATTTGTATATACATATTTAAAAACTGTTTTTTTATGTAATTGATGACTGGGATTTAATATAGATTTTTGAACGTAGTAGAAATTTGGTTTTTTTTATAAATATTTAAAAAAAAAGATTTTAATATAGCATTTGTATAATAAAATTATTTTAGTTGTATGCATTAAAGAATATACATATATAAAAATATGCAAATAGACGATTTAACTTAAATATTTTTTTAAATAATTTTGCATTACATTTTGCATTGTGCTTTTCTAGTTTTTTTTAAAAATAGTGTAAACATGTTTTTGTATGATTTGAAAAGTAAGGAATTATAACTATTAATTAAAAAGCTTTTTTGCACTAAAATGTAAATGAAATTTATATTTTGAAAAGTGAATTTGTATATAAAAAAAACCCTTAACAAAAACATCTTTTATGTTTTTACCTCTAGTTTTAAATATGTAAAGGGCACAGAAACTAATTTTATCACTGGACGCCAAGTATTTCAGATCGCCTCTCTTTGTTATTGTATTGATGAAAAAAGTGGATATAAGGAATTGGATTTTTGAGAAGTCCATAATTATACTTTAAAAATAAAAGTACAATTATGTATCGTTGAAACTTTCAAGAAGTTTCGAATAAACTATTTCGATGTACATAAAATTTATTTAAACATTTTAAATAGATCACTTATGTAAATGCAATTCAATTAAACAAGCTTTAAACAATTAATATGTTTTCGACATGTGTACTTAAATATTATTATTTATTTGGTTTTAATAACTATAAACTATGTTGTTTTAGAGTTACTACTTAAGCTTTCATAAGTAAGTGCGGTTCTGAGCGAAGGGAATCAGTCAGATATTGTGTTTTCATCGTTTTTTGAAAGTAACGCTTTTCATTCGGTGAATTAATATTATAAACTATTGGCCGTACTCCTACATTTCGCCATAGTTCTGCTATATGTCTGGAAGAAAAAATTTTTTAAATATATTAAAAAGGTATGCTTGAAGTAGCTATTTAAGTAGACTTACAAATTAAATTCGTCTTTATTGACGAAGACAACACTTACGCCAACTACAGGTGCAATAATATTACGATATATAGCACCATAAATTGAAGTGGCAAGTGTTGAAGCTTTGAGAATAGGCAATGCTAGAAATTTTTCAGTCCAAAGCCCACACACTAAGTCTGTTTCAGTTTTTCGTAGCTAATAATATAAATGCTTGTTATTATTTATATATATAAATTAAATGAAGTTGTTTTAATGAAGTGTCAGTTCTTGTCATACCTGATATATAGCATAAGGTGATGAGCTAATAAGTATTATTTGATTCAAAAATTGTGCGTTTTTTTTAATAAAAGCTTTAAGTTTTTCGATCATGTGTGAGCTATGGTCAGATATACGTAAAAATATGATTAATCGATTATTTTCCAAAAATTCCATTAATTCACTTAATGTATAAACGTATTCGGCATCGAATTTTGAACTAAGCGTAAAAAGGGTATCATAGTATAAAATTATTATATATTTTGCTAGTTTAATTTGTATTCAAAGTTACCTTAAAGGATGTACTGATGTAATATTGACTCTTCGTAATTCTTCAAGTGCATGTTGTGATATAGCACCCGTAAGTCCGGCTCGTTCGAGTGTCGATCGATTTACAATAACGATTTCACCGCAAGCTGTTAAGCCGGCATCTAGCATAACGTTGCGATAACCACGTGTAATACACTATAATTAGAAATATAACAAAATATTGATTTTACAAATTGTGTGGTAGTTGATTGTGTGGTAGCAGCCTTACCTTTTTGATAGCAGCTTTTGAATTACCTGGTGCGTCATAGCTAGCTGCGCGATTTGCGATTGGCCAATAAGCAAGATTGTCGACCGTAGCAACATCGCCGGTTTCAAAAAAGTTCAGTAATCTTTTTGCACTTGGGCTGCGCAATTTAACAAATTTAGATGCAACACATACAATAAGCAGCATTAGCGTGAACCATGGTATACCAGCCGAAGCAACGTTACAAACAAACCAAAAAACATTAAAAACAAAAGAAAACAAACTGATTGAACACCACAACAAATGGTAGAGCATTTTCAATATGGTCCAACTGAGAATTACAAAGTTCATTCAGGAACTCAAATCCTATAAATTAACACTTATAAATTTTTTTAATCAATATAAATTTGTTTCTAGCTCACTTCTTTTACAAAATAACGGAGATCACTCAAACACCACTTCTTTATGAATTTCGTAAAATAAAATTGTAATGATTGATGATTTAATTGATTCAAACAATTTTCTTCAATTCAGCGTGAATATCTGTTCGATTTTTGTCTTCGTTGTATAGAATAGGATATTTTCTTAAATCTTTGTTCATTTTATCCTTCTAAGTCGAAATAAAAAGCCCTTTTTGACCAAAAAAAGAAAATGTTAAGGCGTAAAGCACAATAACTTCTGACATTTTCTTTGTTTCTTCATCGTGGTTGTTTTTTTTTTAGTTGCAAAGTGGGTGGAGTGGGTTGCATTGTTGTATTACGTTGCGGCGATGTGCTTGTCAAAAAGAGATTTTTGAATTAAATATAAAATTGTACAATTTTTACAATTAATTTTATTTTATAATAATTTGTAAATTGTGCGTTTTATATATTATAAAATGTTTGAAATTTTTCCGGGATTTAGGTCGTGGTTTTAAATTTATATTTTTATACAATAACTTGTATTATATAAAACACAAACTTTAGATTAAATAAAAATATCACAGTGATTAATTTATGCAATATATTTTATTAACAAATATTTCGGTCTACTTCGTAGACCATAACACTGAAGATATAACCATTACACTGAAAAACACTGTAGATGATATTTGTTAATAAAATATATTACATAAATGAATCACAGTGTGATATTTTTATTTAATCTAAAGCTGGTTTTTTATATAAAACAAGGTATTATATAAAAATATAAATTTAAAACCACGACCTAAAGCCCCAAAAAATTTAAAACATAAACATTGAGGTCGACACTAACACAAACATATACATATAATAAAATTTGTGTAAAGTTTAATTCGTATTTCTAAATTTTATACCACAAGAACTTAGATGAATGCTCTCTTTGGATTAGTAAATCAGAAATATGCTTAAATCGTTTAAACGCATATTTGTTATTTGTTAACATTCATTTGAATTAAAGTTACTATTTTTTTTTTAAATATATTGAAAGCATATAAATAACAAGCAACAATAAGTTATTATTATTAATAATCAATGTATAACTTTATTTTATATATTTGTTTATAATTTAGTATATAATTTAATCCAACGTCTTATAGCAGGGTACGACAAGCGGGTATAAACGCCAGGATAATGCGGATCAGCACAGCCAACACCCCAAGAAACTACACCAATAAGAGTACCATTGACTTGAATTGGTCCACCAGAGTCTCCTTGGCACGCATCCGTATTTCTAGCCGCTGCACAAAACATACTATGGTAAGAGTTGTCAAACAATTTTTTTCTAATTAAACTGAACATGTACTTACGCTTCCGTTATACCACCTTGAAATTTCATTGCTTCATTGCATTCTGCTTGATCAACAGCATATACTGTTGTGTATTTAAGCGTTGTAGATAAAACATGTTCGGTGGCGCTCATATGACCCCAACCAGAAACGATAGCAACTGTATCAGTTAAAATTGGTTCAGCAACATTGGGTAATTTTATTGGTGCTACAAAATCACCACGTAATCTGTTGGGTTGAGTACGTAAAAGCGCTATATCATAGTTCATTGTGTCTGCATCATAGGATGGATGCTTGTATATAGTAGTAATGCTTACAATTTCACCACCTTCCATACGGGTACTACTGCCTATACGCAAAGAAAACATAAGTGGCAATTTTTCGAATCCATCAACACAATGCGCTGCTGTTATGGCCCATACCGTATCAAGTACCGCGGCGCCACATATATGTATTGTGCTGCGACGTAACGACAACTTAAAAGAATTGTAGTCGCATCAACAAAAATTACAACAAAAAAATGTTACACAAATTTATTCGTAATATAAATAATTTATACAAAATTTAAATTAATAATTGAAAATAAGTTATTTATTTTATTTTGTAATAGTATATTTATTAAAAAACATTAAAACAAAAATGGTACAACATAATTTAATTCGGACCTGACTAGTAAATAATGTCATGTTATATATTTAATTTTTGTTTGTAAAAAAAAGCCGAAAAAAATATAAGAAAAAATTTATCTGTAATTCAAGGTGAGAGGAAATAATTCGTTTAAGGTTTCAAATATAGTTAAATAGAAAACTGATTTTATACTTTTTGAAACGGTATTAATAAAGTAAATTTTGTTTTGATCGCAATAAATAGTCCGCTAAAAAAAAATTTAAATTTTAATTTTTAATTACTTTCAAACCGTTTTTCACAGAAGAACTTGATACATTTTCACTAAATTTCCTCTTAATATAATATATATTCCTATCTAAGCTTACTTGATAGGAAAACTCCTCTATTCTTGCATTTTTACCATTGACAATGCGATTTTGTGCGGTTACACTGTTTGTAGGCGTGGCTTTTACATTTTGTTTTAAAATTAAAAACAGCGATAAAAAAATGCAACGGTTGATATATGAGCCAATTAATGACAACCGCATTATTTGGATATTATTTCTTCACTGGTTATTTGTATTTCAAGTTGTACATCAAAGGCTTTTCAACTTCTTTTCTGAACTCTTTATCAAAAAGAAAAAAAATATGTTCCTAAATTATCAATGAATATTTAACAAGTTTTAATTGACGAGTTCATTCGAAAAGTAAGATAACACTTCATTCAAATGATTGGTACTTATCAGGCCTTGGAAGACATTTTACGTTATATTTTGTTTTATTCTAATTGCAAATAATTGCCATTGTGGGGGTTTTTATTGGAAATCTAAAACTGAAAATGATAACGGCTTTCCATATATTTATTGGAAACTAACAGTTTGTGATCTTAAAATAAACATATTAAACATAACATAAAAACATACAAATATTATTAATGCTTCAAGAATAGTTAGAACCAAAACCTGAGTGTGCGTAAACTGATCTATTTCTCACCTCTTTTTTGTCGAAACCAAATATCGATAGACAATATATTTCGAACACTATTAATATATCTTATAAATTTGTTAACTGGAAAAACTATTTTCATATTATATATATTATTATATCTGACTAGGTAATATGTTTAATTATATAATATAATTAGGTATAAACATCATAAATCTATACTCTATGTGTAGATGGATCAATTCGTAAACTCCAAAGAAAAAAAAGCATATACATATGTATGTACGTATATGTACACAAATGTTATTGCAATCAATTGCTACATGTTCTGAATTATGTTAAAATTCAGTCGATTTGTTAAATATATCGATTTTGATATTAGATCAATTCCATGTATAAAATGTATAAAAAAGTTTTATCTAACGGCTTATGTCTTGTGTGTTAAAATTAGGTATTAATTCAAATAAAGTTACGGTTACGAATCTTGCCCATTGGTCTACAACCTTGTAAACTGTTTATGGTATTTATAAATTCATTACCGTAACTACAATTGCGGTATACGTCAGTTGTAAGTAAATTAGATTCGCGTAAAATTAATACATAATTGTTATCTGTTATTAACATTCTCTACCATAATGTATGACATTTTTGAGATTTGCTTTTCGATTGATTTCAAAAACTTTTTAAAAAAATTTTATTTTATTTCCTTTCAAGCGATTAGTATACAATGGTGGACGTGGACATAAGTATTTTGACATTAAAAACATCGTGTATTTTGTGTAATTAACTAAAATTTATTTATCCAATAAATATGAAAAAAATATATGTATAACAGTAGTGTATTATGGTCATAAAAACAACAAAATTATTGAATTCCATATTAAAGTTTAGAAAATAAAAATAAAACTTCATAAATTTAAAAGGACAAAAGTATTTTGTAAGAAAATTGAAATAATTTCAGGAAGTTTCAAGAATAAAAAAAAAATTAATAAAAAATAAACCCTTCTTTAGCGCGTATTATCTTCTGCAAACGTCCAGGAAGGGATTTTACTAGATTTTGAAGCGTTTCTAAGGAAATGTTCTTCCAAAGTCCTTCTACCTCAGCAATCGTATCGTCGCGCGTTCTTGTTATACTTGGACTTCTTTTGCGTTTTATATAAGCCCACACATTCTCTATTATATTTAGATCCGGACTTTGGGGTGATAAAATCTAATGTATTTACATCCAAATCCCTTAGAAAATTTGTAATAATTTTGGTCTTGTGACATGTAGCATTATCCTGTTGCAGGATAAAGTCATGTCCAATGAGCCGGTCACCGAAAATAAATTCGCGGTCATTCAGGATGTGTAAATAATTGTCTTTATTCATTGTACCATCGATTGGTATCAAATCACCGCTCCCGTTAAAGCAAACACATTCCCAAAAATCACAGAGCCTCCACCATGTGGTATCCGTTTGCATACTGGTCTTACTTTTTGTCAATAATTTTTGAGTATTCTGCAGTTTATTTTATTTTTCGACCCATGATACTCAAATGTACTTTCATCAGTCCACAAAAGTTGTTCCCAAAAAGATTGAGGCTTGTGAACCATAAATTTGGCAAACGCTAAACGCTTAATCTTATTTTTTGGCGAAATAAAAGGTATTTAGCGGGCTACATATGGCTTATTATGGATATATCGTATTCATTGTTAACTTCAATTGATACTGCATTTGGTGTAATTAAGATATTCTCCTTAAATTTTCCAAGGATTATGCGATCCTGCCTTGGTGTAGTCTTGGGTTGTCTACCTGTTCTGGCTTAATTACTTATTGAATTTGTTAGTTTATGCTTATTGATTTGGTAGTAATTGTTTGCCGCGGTACTATATAAAACTAGCTAAGACTTTGTACCGAAATACCTGCGCTGTACTTTATTACCATTTCGTTACGCTGGATTTGGCTTAGTTCACGTATTTTACCCATATTTTAAATAAGAAAAAAAGAAAAATGAATAAAATTAAAAAAAAAACGGGATTCAGATTAGAGTAGCCAACTTTACAAATTACAAAGAGCTGTATTTATCGCACGCGACACAAATAACAACCAAAACTATGCAATGTCAAAATACTTTTGTCGACTGGAAGTACTTCCACATGTTAAAAAGATTTCTCGGAAATTTTTCCATACATGCCCATTCTCTGAAAAAACAAATTTTAAATTTTATTTAATAACGTTTACCGACTGTACTAACCAAAGTCCAGCACTTCCTCCGTTTCTTAGTAATTATTATAACCGAAAGTATTATTATTTGCTTTTTCCTTATTTCAAATATCTTTTTTCGGTGCATTGCACGAAATTCACGGTATTCAAATATTGCTTTAAATCTATTGGTGATAATATCACACACATTATATTAAATATTTTTCAAATTTTCCACATTTTCCAATTTCATTTGTATTTGTATTTCATTTATAAACAAAAGAAAGTTGCATAGATATTTTTAATATTAGAAATTTTTCTGATGAAAACAAAAGCGAATTTGCTGAAATACATGTAGAAATATACTAAAAATAACGTTCGAAATGAAAGCTAAAACTCTTTAAAAAAACCAACTTTAAAAGAAAAAAACTCTTTAAAAAAAAACTTTTCATAGTTTATATAACATATAAAAGTTTAATTAGCTGCATAAATGAGCTCATTATAATGTGAACGTTTTTCATTAATATAAATGAGCGAGTGCCTAAACAAGGTAGTTAAAATGAACTAATGATAAAATAATTTTTTTAATATTATTTTAAAATAAAATAATTTATTTCTATATATTTTAATTTTTCTGTTTTCAATGTATAACATATTTTGAAGACACATATTACGCTTTTATGTTTTTAGTTGAATGGTTTAAGTCAGAAGAAGAAAAAAAAACGATCAAAAACGAAAATAAGCAAGACTTTTGAAAAATCAAAATATTTTGAATTTCGTCAGTCTGGGTGACACATCTGTAAGTGTTGCCATTACAATAAGTCGATAAAATTGTGTGAATTGTACTATCCGCTTTAGAATTTAGCTATAAAACCAACATCAGTAGTAATAGATTTCTATATATAACATCTCCAAAGCAATTATTTAAATGAAACTGTCATATCAACAGCCCACTATCGTTGTTGTTTCATACTTCTCTCTGTTCCATACAAGCAGCTGTTTTTCTGTACATATTTGCCATACTTCGTTTTTATTTTGTTTCACTTTTTTCCTTTAGTAATTACATATTGTACAACAAAAACGCTTGCTAATAAAGAGTAGAAGAAGAAGGTGAGGTTGAATTCTCGTGCGTACTTATATTGCGTAGACAAAAACGTTTAATTATAAAATACAATTAAATAAAATAAATCATTTAAACAATTACTAAATAAGCACAACATAATTTGACTGTGATAGTAAAAGACCCAGTGCAAAATCATAATAGAAAGCAATTTAAACATTCTGATAAATATTTCTTCTAAGAAATCTTCAATTTAATAAATTTAATAATTGCGAATATTTGTAATTAATATATAAGAAATCAAATTGCATTTTTAATAGTAAGAATTAATAATAAACACAAAATGCCAGCAAAAGAAAGGAACATTGCAATGATGGGTTATCGCTCCGTGGGTAAGTAACAATTACCAACTTTCTGCTTGTTATCTCGTTATTTTTGTTATTAATTCTATTGCGTTTTGACTTTTTTTTATGAAAAAATTAATATTTACTATAATTATAGGTAAATCGTCATTAAGCATACAATTTGTTGAGGGCCAATTTGTGGACTCATACGACCCAACCATTGAAAATAGTGAGTTTCGAACACCAATTTTTTAATATATAAATAAATAATAATAAAAACTAGTTTGTTTGTCAATTCAGTTACTTGTTTAACTTCAACGTATTTAATATATTAACGTATGCAGTAAAATAAATTTATTAATTTAAAAATAAAATTTTGAAAATTTAATTTGTTTAAATCTATGATCGTAAAATATGATTTGTTGAATCGCAATATATTTAATGAAAGTACCTATAGGGAAATGTGTGTTGTGATGGTGCAAATCAAAGGTCAAGGTTAATACACTGATGGAAGGAAATCAGATTATATTACCTTGACATATAAAAATTATTTATATTCCCAATTAAATGACTGTTAAAATAATTTTATAAGAAAATGTTAGTCAGTTTACTAATTACTGACTAAATAATGTAGATGAAAAGGTTTGTCATTTATCACATATTTACGACACCTAAATCTCAGTGAAGTGCTGCATATGCAGAAATATAAGATGTCTCCAATAATGTAATATTTAAATAAGCAATTATACAGTAATTTTCCTTATATGTATACAAAATACGTTAAACACCTAAATCTTAGTGAAGTGCTGTCTATGGAGAATTATAAGATGTATTATAAGATTATATATATACTCAATCCATTAAACGATTTTAAGAGCTAAAAGAAATTTAATTCATTCATCGTTATAAAAAAAAATTCATGCGATATACTATTGTAAGCATGATTCCAAAACGAAATGCACCAAATTTGAACTGATTAAAAAAAATATTGGTAGACGAAACATCAAAACAAGTGTTCACTTGATCACATTTTAATAAATTTCACATAATAATATATAAAATGATATATATTTATTTTATATCTTTTGCAGCCTTTACAAAAGCAACAAAAGTTAACTCCCAGGATTATAGTGTTAAGTTAGTTGATACCGCTGGCCAAGATGAATATAGTATATTTCCTGTACAGTATAGTATGGATTTTCATGGTTATGTACTTGTCTACTCAATAACCAGTCAAAAGTCTTTTGAAGTGATTAAAATAATATATGAAAAATTAATGGATGGAATGGGAAAAAAATAGTAAAAATACTATTATTAGATTAAACTCTAAATATGAAGATATAATCATAAATTTTTAACTTTTATTTACAGTGTACCTGTAGTTTTAGTTGGTAACAAAACTGATTTACACCAAGAACGAACAGTATCTACGGAAGAAGGTAAAAAATTAGCTGACTCTTGGCGCGCTTCATTTTTGGAAACTTCTGCTAAACAGAATGAGGTATTTTATATATGTTTATTTACATTATCTATTATAATGAATTTATAAACTTTATATTTGATATAGTCTGTTGCTGACATATTTCATCAACTACTTATGCTTATTGAAAATGAAAATGGAAACCCGCAGGAAAAGAATAGCTGTGTAATTTCGTGAGGAACTAAATCTGTCACAACACTGATGAAACTATATCAAGCCAGGTGTATACAACTTTCTGCTTTGTGTTGTGCTTTTCGGAGAAATAATGTAACTTTTTTTTTTAATAAGTTGATGTAAAGAATTTAAAATGCATAATTTATATATAATTTTATAAATAGAAATCTACTTGTAGACATAGATTACAGTAAAAATACTTTCCCTTGAAAATTTAGAAATGCAATTTATATATTAACATAACTTTTCAAAAAATGACACACATAAAATTTAAAACAAAACATAAGATTTTATTAAACTTAACTACAAAAGCGAACATAATCAATTTCGAATAAGAAGCATATATATAATGTGTAAAATTATTTAAAACAAAATTACAGACAGTTTAAAATCAATCGCTATAAAACTAAAAATATGAATTGTTTCGAAATGGTTTTATACAACAAAATTATCAAAGTAATAAATTCATTTTACGACCCACAATATAAATATATATTAAATATAAATTTATTGAAAACAAATAATTTATTAGTCAAATGTTTGACTTGTATCACGTTTAAAAATATAGACATTGTCATTGTCATGTATATTTAAACAATATACGAACAACAAAAATTAAATAGCTAATCAAATGGTACAATTAATTATGAACATATAGTATGATAACACGAAAATCTTAGTTTTCTTAATTTAGACCGTGTGGTCGTTTATTCTAATTTTGTTTTATTTCATTTAAAAATGAATAATAGTTAATAAAGTACCTAAAAAGGACATTAAATAATGTTTTAATTTAATTATATTAGTATAATTTATATAGTATATGTCAAACAAATGTTAAAAATTTGGTTAAAATAATTTTTGTATTGCACAGAACAAAATATAAGAGAACCAAACGTCTTTCTACTATTTTATATTAAAACGGCCTCCACTTACGGTTTTATTTACCGCTTTTTAATGATGACATCAGATTCATTGTGCTCAGGTATAAAAAAAATTCCTAATGCCAATTTCAGAACTTTTATTTATTAAATTGGTTGCTGTTGTAGCTCTTGGAGATATATATACCGTAAAATATGAACAAAGGTAAAATACGAATGGATGGGTGTAGTCGAAACGTTTTGTGTGGAATAGGGGGGAAATAAAGATGTGGGTCGCAATTAAGACTCTTGGCTATTTGAAAAGGGCGCTACCATATATCAATAGCGCTCAAATTAGTGTGGTAATTTCAACAGGAGAAGAGATAGTCGAAGTAGAGCTGTGTGAAAACTTACTGATAAGAACATAAGTATATCTTGATCTCAATTGGGCTAGAACAGTTCTTGCTGCACGAAGACGTTGTCACTCTTTCCTAGAGAAATCCTAGAGATGCCAGACGAACGCTTATTAAGAAGTTTGTTGCTATGTAAACGTAATCTCGAAGAGGGCACTGCTTCGGTAAAGAGAGCAGTTATTCCTCGTTAGTGCTCGACCTCACTGATTTTAGCACGATAACAATAAGTATCGATGATTCATAATACGAAAAATTGGATGCATCGTAAAGGGAAAATTTAAATTGAATTAGTCATCTTCTATCTCTTGTTGCATCGGACTCGTACATGAAATATACGTATACACTTGAATTTTTTTTAAAACCGATTTTTTTTCTGTTATCTGAATTTATTTGCTTATTTTGATATATACACTGACCTTACTTCTCTACTGTCTTATGCTGGCAATAAAAGTTTCAGACGTTTTCAAGCCGCATTTGGCTAAGCTTACTCCTTATTCTCTTTCCTTGCTGGTGTTTTATGATTTTAGTTATACATGCATTTTGAAATGGTTATAATTAAGCTGTTAGTTTGTTTTTTTTTTCAATCTATTAACTCATGTATTTTAAACCCCCTGTTCTGTGAATTTGATAAATTGATCAAATATTGACAAATAATCAAGATTTTTATCAAGCTAAAATCTTCTTGCTATTCTATGCAAATATTGACAAATTTCAAAACTCAAGTGTTTAAAGCTTTTCACCACACTGTGCTTACCAATGTTATGTATACAAAAAATCAAAAATACATAATATGTGGATTTGTTATTATAATTATATCATGCTTTATTACTTTTATGTTTTAAATTTAATATTTGTTATTTAGAATCTTATTATGCTTATAGACAACACAAAACTATTGTTATATTTTTATATAATATTCTTATTATATGAAGATATAATAATATATAGAAATATATATAATATATATTATTATAAATTATTATTTATTAAGTTTTATTATAAAGGCATTATTATATTTCTACAATATTTTAATAAATATCTACAAATTCACACTCTTATCTTAGAATTTTATTATGTATATAGATAACAATTTTGTACAAACAGTAAAATAGCTGCTTTATTTGTCAAAAGCATTTCTCATCTTGCAAATTTATCAAAAAAAGGCTTTTTATTTTTTGTACAAAATACCAAAAGTTTGAAAAATTGTCAACCTTGATAAAAGTGAATTTAGTAATTTGGTGAATTTATCATGTACACAGAATAGGGTAGTAATAATTTTTTCTAATTTCTTCAAAGATAAAATAAATGAATAATGAAAATTATATCTTAGACTTAATATTTTGATATTATCAATAAAAAGTTTATATATATTGTTTTTCGTCGAATTGAAAATTGAAAATCTTAAGGGGATATATGAAATCTTTATTATCGAATTATTTGCTAAATTTGAAGCGTTTTTATTCAAAAATAAAATATTATTTTACATTTTGTTATCTGTTTGTATTTAACTAAAAATTAAAAAACTAGAATTTATAAATAAAAAATCTGTTTTTTATATATTTTATTGTAAAAATAAATTATGTATGATACAAAGTGTTACACAAATAACATATTACATAATTATTTTTATCTATACTGTACTATTAAATTGAAAGTATATAGCTTTCTCACTCTAATACATGCATTTATTGCCATATTTTGAAGTATGTTATTGATCAAAGAATACTTTTACTTTTACAAGTATTCTTTGTTATTGATAAAAAAAAGATTTTCTACATTATGATAAAAGTTATAATATATAATAAAGTTTTTATAATTTTATTTGATATTAAACAATTCAAAAACATAAGTTACTATTATTATTGTGCATATTTAGTTAAGTGGATATATATATTAGAGAGAATTAGAAAATTGAATAGACCTACTACATTTTTAAATGCTACTTTTTTTTTCCATTTTACATTACAGCACTAAATTTAAAATAAACGAACCAGTTGTAAAAATTTTGTCGTCTGGTGGAGAGGTTAAAGAATGATGAATTGAAGGAACGCGTTAAAACGTAATTTAGTTTTAAAGAAAGTAAAAGATAAAGTTTTTGTTATGTTTTTAGCGAAATAAGAATGTATAAATGAGTCAGTAAATAAAATATAAGTGCACTTAATATCTTTTTAAGAATATATTAATAAATTGAAGTTTTAAATTGTGGAAAGTGAGAATATAGATAACATTTATGTGCAGTTTTTTTGCAAATTACGATATTGCACAATATTAAATTTTGTGAAAATTACAAATATTTAATTGCTGCTTGCAGCTGTCGCATCAGTTGTGAGTTTCTCTGTGTTGTCAATAAATACATTCAACCGCGCGGTGTAGTGTAAAATTTATGCTGTTTGCACTATCAAAGAAATAAAAGAGAGTTAACTCAATTTTTTCATAGTTGACCCTTTACTTTGGACTGTTTTTTTTGTTAAAATTAATTGTTTTAGAGTTCAGTGCGTCACCGTAAAAGCAGAAATCGTTTTATAAAACAAAAACGCTTCGGACACCTTAAAAGCTCACCATATTTCATAATAAATAACCGCACTAACACAAAGGTAACTAGTTGTTTTCTAATAAAACATAATTAATAATACAGGAAATTTGTTTATTTGGTGTAAATTTGACGTAGAATTAATACGAATATTAGATATGTTGTTGTCGTTATAGGTAATAACTTTATAAATTCAAGGTTACCAATTTGTGCGAAATTCTAAAGGCAAGTGGGTAAGCTAATTTTCATCCATAACTGAAGCAATACAAAATAAACGATTACTATACAACTTATCAACTTAAAATAATTTCTATTTTGCTTGGTTAAGAACGAAAACGTTCAGAAAAAATATTTTCATAATAATTTCTACAAAAAATTGGAAAATGAAAAAATGGGAATCATTTTGCAAATACAATCTTTGATTTGTTACAACTGTTGCATCTTGAAAACAGACGGGAAATTCAGCAGATTCTGCTAATTATCATTGACTACTTGATTCACTGCCAGCCGAAATAACGTATTCTGTAATTGTAGTGGTTTATAACTTGCTTAAAGTTTTGAATAAGAAATCGCACCGTTCTGCTCATCTCACACCATTATTCGGGGCTTCATGAGTAACTCATGAATGTTTAGTACTATAACGTTGAATAAGAAGTTGGGTCGTTCTACTCATCTCATACCATTATTCGGGGATTCATGAGTAATTCATGAATGTTTAGTACTATAACGTTGAATAAGAAGTCTCTTCGTTCTGCTCATCTCACAACATTATTCGGGGATTCATGAGTAGTTCATGAATGTTTAGTACTATAACATTGAATAAGAAGTCGCTTCGTTCTGCTCATCTCACACCATTATTCGGGGCTTCATGAGTAATTCATGAATGTTTAGTACTATAACGTTGAATAAGAAGTCGCTTCGTTCTGCTCATCTCACAACATTATTCGGGGCTTCATGAGTAATTCATCTTTCATTTAAGTGCCAAGCATTTTTGTATATTCTGATTGAAACCCTAATGTTGATATTCTTGTCAGTATATTTCATTTCGGGTTGAAAAATATATGTATCTGTTTGCATTTCACTGGCTTTAATCTGAAAAATGTTTGAATATTATGTTACTGTTTTAGAATTGGAAATGTTAAGCATAACTACTTCAACACTCATTCGGGTGTTTACTTCTTAAATGGATTTTATTTTGGATCAGTTCAGGTTCAGGCCTCTCATGATAGAATTCATTTAATATTTTATTATACATTATTATAAATTGAAAAGTCATTGTAAAGACATGTGTTTGAAGATTAAAATAATATATATTACATGAGAAAGTAATAAATACCCGTGTTAAAATTAATATTTAATATTAACAATTTTTTGTTTGATCGATACATTATATGTTAAGTCTTGGTTTGAATTTCGATGAATACCTTTTGAAGAGTATTTTAAAAGAAACAAGAAGAAACTCCATCTTAAGTAATCCATTTTATTCTATCACAGACAAACACGTTAAATCATATCAGTGAATTGAAAATATAATATATAAAGAATTTAGCTTTATCATTGCCATAAATTAAGTTAACATATCTTTCATCAGAGTTTAAATGAAATCATTTACGAAATGTTTGTATGATTAGAGTCATACGTTTGAATATAAATAAGATACATATAAATCTGATTAGAGACAACTTTAGGAATTGTACTAGAAATAAGCTGTATTTTGTCTAGTTATAATCTTAGTGTTTAAGTCAGCTTAAAGCCAGTCGAGTCCTCAAAGTCATTTATTTAGAGCAACTTTTCCTCTATGCTATATGCTGATATAACTTACTTTTCGAGATATTAAGGTTTAAAGTAAAACATTTTTTATATTGATTATAATAACAAAAAAAACTGCATACGCCATCTAGCTGTAATTAGTATATACAATTTTCAGTTTGACTTGCCGTTGCAAAGGACTTGTTGATAGGGTTCATATTAAAATTTTCTACTGGTTTCTTAAAACTAAATTGACATAGTGGCGTAGTAGAAAATGTTATTCAAAGTAGCCTTTAGTGCGTTTACTAAACGCTCCATTGTCAAATGAGCGTGCTCAGAAAATTAGATCGTCCCGAACATGATTATTGTACATATTACTGTCTAAAAGCACTTTGATAAATGTTTCTAGTAGTTGGTTTTTGTTTCTAATAATTCAGTATAAAGCATCGTTGAATAATTTTTGAAGATGTGAATGTAAACTTAATAATGCATCTGTATAAATTGCTTTATTTTATTTTTTTTTGCATTGCCTTTGTCTTATAAGAAACAGCAAAATGTACCAGGTGTTCTGCGATAAATGCACATCGGTATTTCGTATACAAACTCGTATCTGCAAGAATGAACATTAACAACCCCTCTTGTTCTGGTTCTGTTTTTGTTTCTGTTTTTGTTTCTGTTTATTGTAAGGCATTTTAAGTGCTTATCTGTTTTCGTACTAAAATTTTAAGTAACAAAAAAGTTCACAGACTGAAAAAACACATTAATGAGTTTGAATATAGGGCAGAAGGCAAAACACACAAAGCCAGCCACATGACGTTCACAGTCATTTTTCAAGTTTTTAGTATAAGTTTATGAATTGTTACACTTTAAAATTGCCAGAAAGTTGCTGCTCACTTATAAATACATTTTCACATTCAAATCCACAGCCAGAAGGTAGAAGGTAGTCAACCGATCTGTTTTTAGATTGTTACAACTCTTATGAGTAGGTATATGTTTAATGTATCGAAAACTAGAAGTTAAAATAAGACTAGTAGTGAGAAAAATGGCCTTTAATAGTTGATAGCATAATTTTCTTGTAAAAAATAAACCAGAGATACTAAAAGTTTTCTAGTGGTAAAAATTTCAGGAAGTGCGAACTATCTTGGAATTTCAATACCGAGATAGTTCGCTAACATTTTGCTTACATGATCAAAATATTATCCTAAAGTCTTTTAAGCCTCTGCTGTTTTAATCATCGAAAGACGAAGACTCCTTCTTTTCAACATTTATTTTCACTAGCGTTTTGATTTCAATATGCAACATACTTGTCGTTTGATAGTAGACGATACACTGTCTACCGCTCTCCCCCTTGTTCTACAACATCTACACTTCTGATATCCCAATGCAAAGTTCTACGGTATTATCATTATACGCAGAAGACACATGTTATATTCTGATAAACTTGCCAGAAATGTGACGAACATGCTCCAGGAGCATATTAATCTCATCCTGGGGTTCTTCCAGAAATGGAAAATAAAAATTAACAATGAAAAAACTAAAGCCCTGTTTATTATACGTAAACACAGGCAACATTCAATCACGATGGTGACATCGTGATTAATTGGGAGGATAGCATTAAATACTTAGGTATCACGTTTGATAAGCGGTTCACTTGGCATATGCATATACAAGTCAAAAGAAGCAGTTGCGCTAAAACACTGCAATGCTTACAACCACTTTTCAAACACAAGCTTAGCGCGAAGAACAGAAAACTAATCTATAGCCAAATAATTAGACCAGTATTACTTTATGGGTGTGTCGCGTATAGCAAAGCTGCCGACTCTACTATACTCTATTTAAAGTGCTTTGGTATATCCGCACAAACGACATGCTAAGAGACCTTAGAATAGACCCGATCAAAAAATACATAAGCCTTGGACAGAGCTTTGAAGTTATATGCGAAAATTGACAGGCTATCCTACTTACCACTATCTAATCTTAGAGTAATCACTCTCCGCACGGGGAGGTACGCAGATCTTAGATCAATCACTGAATAATAATGAAGCTTATAGGGAATACATAAGTTAGTCAATGAGATGGGTGGGACCCTGAGGTACCCCCAGATATCAAAGAGTAAAAGTGCCCAGTTGCGCTGACTCGATAAAAGGATCAACATACATGAAATGACATAATTTATACATGTACAAATTTTATTTACGATTTTAAGATTAGAAAGAGGGAATGTGAGTATCGAATGATGAAAAGTGAAAAGGAATAGAGTTTGATGAAGGTGGAACTAAGTGTGAAAGGTTGGAAAGGACAAAAATTGAGTCTAATCTCGATTCAAACACATGAATTCTTCCACTTTAATGAACTGGAGACTAATAATTGTTTAGAACTTGGCTGTAACAGGCGTATGTTGAGCCAGAATTCCTTTTTCAATTCTAGACATTTGATCATGATCGTTAAAAATTATTTTCTAGCTGCAAATGTTGTTGATATATTCCTGATATGAGGGGATAGATAGAACTTCTTATTCTTATTTCTTGCTCAACTAAGTCAATAGGTAGGTCATTAACTTGGGATATTGCGTCCTCCAATTGTACCTGTTATATTGTGTTTTCTTCCAGATCTACCTATACATTGAAGTCTTGTGACACGAACTTTTTAGCACAGCTTCCATATTTTTCTTTTCCAATACTGGGAATGAAGTTTAATCGCAAGATAAGAGCGTACTCTGTCATGTACAGTTTGTTAATGAGGTCTTTGCATACATATACATTTTTTCGCCATTTTGTTCATATATTTTTTTAGTAATAATATTATAGTCATATTATTTGAGTCATATGGAGTAGCAAAAAAATACTTAATACTTCGTTTTTAAATTTTTGTTAAATATATCTTCAATTGCATTCAGATTGGTCATCACTTGGTGTAAGCTAGCTAAATAAACATGGTAGATGTATATATAAAAAGTGTCGTTTTTGTTTTTAGCGGTTTCAAGATGACACTTGCATTACCACAAAGGTGCGTCTTGATATTTGCATTAATAGCATTAATTCTAAACTCCGTGTTCGGATTTTTTTGGACAGTGGAATTTAATTTTCAGATCCTTTATCTCATTAGATCTTTGAAAGTATTCTTAATTGATTAACCAATTTAATATTTTTCAGACTATATTCAGTTTATATAAAACTGTTTGTTATTTTTTCTTTGCTAATTGAATTTTGCAGTATCAGCTTCTTTAATTTTTGTATATTTTTCATGCAGATTTTTGTGATCATTAGCAACGCAATATTTTTGGGGTTTTGTATCTACCGGACAAAGTATATGTTT